TCAAAAATCAACTTTCTATATCTGCAAACAATTTTTTCGGTTTTTTAGGCAGCCATTATGGATAAAATGTGACATTTAAAAATTTAATGTCAAAGTTTTAACAAAGTAAGCCTAGCATTGTATATGATAAAAAAAACTAGAAGGTTTTCTGAAATTTAGTTATTAAAATACAGAGCTTCAAAGTATGAACAAAACATGTTTTTGCTACTGAAGTTTTTATTTTTGGAAAAATCAGAAATTTCAAATGGCCATATCTCATGAACCACATAAGGTTTGAAGCTGAAATTTTCAGGAATTGCTTTTCTCATTGATATAAACCAACCCACTAAGTTTCATCAAAATCTGAGGGGGTCCATGTTTGACCCTGGTTCACTTGGCATGGAATGACCCAACTACAATTTTTTTAACCTTGTCTCTTAAGCTGGATTTTATTATCGTCGAAATGTCAAAGCAATTAAATTAATGCGGAAGTACATTAAATTTTATTGTTTTAAAAAAAATCCGCAATAATAATGACTAGAAAGTTTTTTTAATTTGTGGTGTTTTTGTTTTTGTTTTATTAAAAAACATTTTTAAAACATGCTTAAGTGTTGCTACATCGACTATCTTATAGCCTGCTGCTACAAGGGAGTGTTGTTACATCGACAATCTTATAGCCTGACTCGCAAAGAAGTGCTGCTACATCGACTGACAAATAGCCTGACTCGCAAGGGAGTGCTGTTACATCAACTGACAAATAGCCTGACTCGCAAGGGATTGCTGCTACATCGACTGAGGGTTTGGTTATATATATATATATATAGATATATATATATATATATATATATATATATATATATATATATATATATATATATATATATATATATATATATATATATATATATATATAAATTATAATTAGATTATATAATAATGTAACTATTTGTTTTGATGGAATATATGAAAATTGAAGTTTAAAGTTTTTACCCTAGCTTAAGCAAGTCTTTGCTTTATATTTGAATTATCATCTGTTATTTTAATTCAACCAGCCACAGCAAAACGTTGATAAGTCATAAATATGATCCATTTAATGTTACTCTTACTGAAGCTCAATCAAGTTAAGTTTAGTTTAAAAGTTTCAAATGACACTAGAAGGAATAGCACATAAAAGCACCTCAAAGCAATGGATTAGATTATGAAAAAAAAAACTTCTGGTTTTTGCTATTTTTTTTACTAAAAAAATTTTACAATTGTTTATATGGCCATAGAATTCATATTAGTTTCTTTAAACAGCTTAAATCACTGTTATAGCTTTAAACATTAAAAATAATTTGTTATTTGATGATAATCTATTTAGCATCTGCATAGTATTCAATATATCCATTTAACTGGCTGATGAATCATCTTTAATCAGATAATGTTAAAAAAATTCTTTAACAGAAAAATAACAAAAATTCTCTGTCATATTTTGATTCATGTAAAATTAGAAACAAAGTCTGAGACTTGATTATTTTTTAAGTTGCAAATGTTTGTAATCTAATCAATAAAATGTAATCAGCAGCCCTTGGAATTAGAAAAAATTAGGTCAGCAATTTTTTGCCGACCTTAAACTATTAGAGGTCAGTAATCAGGTCGACAAAAAAATTTTGACACCAAAGCTTTACCTTAAATATAGTCAGCAATATTTTGCTGATTTTAAATACTTTTAAGTCAGCAGTTAAATTGGCATTGTCGAATGCCAACCCTAAATTTTTTGCCCTTCATTATTTTGATAGCTGAGTCAGATTATAACTATATAAACTATAACATTAACTATAATAATTGAAAGATTATAATAATATAGAGATTGGCATCTGAACACAGCTTAAATGTTAATCACAAGGATATAAAACATTAGCTTAGATCTTAATCACAAGGATATAAAACAGTATCATTAATGTAACTTTTTTGAATTTTAACATGTCTTGAAATTTCATTCTGAGATATAATTAGCTAAAGTTATGGTATATTTGATCTTATATGTAAACAAAATAAACTGGACTATAATCCCAGCAGGTCATTGGTGTTAGAGTCAAGCCATTCAGTGTGATGAGCATTAAAGCCACCAATAACAACAATATTTGCAGAGGAGTATAAAAAATTTGATCAGAACATCTAAAAGAATCTTGAGAAGAAGGAGAATGATAAAAAACAAAAGAGAGAGGTGACAAAAGAGAGGTGACAGAGTGAACGTGACAAAACTGGTATATAATATAAACCTGGTTTCTCAACAAATAAGTGAACTGATGCATAAGTAAACACCCAAGCAGAGTTGTTAACAAAGCAAAAAGTAGCAAAGCCAAGGCTACAAGTTAAAAGACAAAGGCCGAGGCCAAGGCCAAAAGTTACAAGGCTAAGGACAAGGCCAAGGCCAAGTCCAAGATTAAGAGTTTCAAAACCAAGACATACGCAAAGATTTTAAAGACTTAAGACATCAATTTTTGCAATATGTTAAAGCCACAATTCTTCACAAAACTGTAAGTAGCAAGTGCTGTGAAAATGAAACCACATTGTAAAAATAGACCAAATTTATGTTCAGAATTCAACAAAATCAATAAAAAATATGTATTTTTTTTCAAGACTAAGGCCAAAATAATCAAGGCTAAGGCCAAAATTCTCAAGACCAAGGCCAAAGCCAAGGCCAACAGTTTCAAAGCCAAGGCCAAGACCAAGGCCTAAATTTTTGGCCTTAAGGCCAGGTCAATGCCAAGGACTAACAACTCTGCATACCAACCATGTGATTATTGGAGTCTTAGCAAAATATAGGAAAGAAGCCATCAGTACTGAGATATGAAGGAAAAGCTGATTTTAAATTAATGTCACAAAAAGAAAGTGAATTTTGCAAGATTCAACTAGAAAGATTCAACTGATAGAAAGTTACTTCAAAGACTACAAATGTTTGCATAGATAGAGCAGAGCATCTTAAGCAATAAGTTGTCTCAGTCCTTCTAATTAACCCTGAAGACGGCATTTTTAATACTCTGATATTTTACAGCTGTTGACAGAATCGGCATCTCCTAGAGCTACAAAAGAGTTTAAAAAACTTTACTTAGCTGCACCTTCTTTAGAAGATAAGAAGAAGAGTGGCATAGCTGCGATTAAGGAGGCACAAGCAAAAATGAAATAAAATGTTTAACTAAAAAGCTCACACTGCCTTAATTACTAATGTTGTATATACAACCAGAGTAGGCAATGGGCTTCTTGACTCCAAAGCTTAACCAATTTGGCACTGCTGCTTGATATTTTTATAGAAAAAAAAACACTTCCTGACAACATAGAAAATAAAATTAAACCATTGATAAACATCCGAAACAATCATATCAAGTTATTTTCCACTTTTACTCTTTTATAGGCTGTGGTCCAGACAACTGGGAAAGTTTTAAAAATTATTGAATTTTAGTAATTACAGTACTGTATTGTATTGGTATCCTTAATGGAAAATACTCTTCTTTATTGCACTTAATATTGGAGATGTTTGAATCAGCTGGCTTTTTTTTATTTATTTAGAACCTTATCACTAAATCACTTTGTATTTTCTTTATTTTTCTCTATCTTCTTAAGACTCTCCATTTGATGTTAATTTTTATAAATTTAACTTTATCATTTCTCACATTAACTCTTCTTCAGCTTGTGGTCTTGAAAAAATTCTTACAACAGTCTTAACAAGTAGTTTTAGTCTTACAAGTGTATTCTAGAACTTTGTTTAATACTCTCTAAACTATTTAACAAAAGCTCAACTGAAATTTGTTTGCTTGAAAGCTAGAAAATAACATTCATGGATGAGTTTTTTCTGGGAATTCCTGGAATTCCAGAAATTCACTTAAAACTACTTTAATTTTCCAGAAATTTCTGGATGTTTTTTGTTATTAACTTGAAAAAAATATATATATTTTTAAATAAAATTTTAAGAACAACAACTTTTGCATTTAGACAAATATGTTTTCTATAACTAAAATTTTCACGAGATTATTTTTTCGTAACAATTTTTTTCTTTTTTTTTTTTGCTTTTTAATCTATTCAAATTAACTTTTTTGAATATTAGAAATTCCTTTTTGTAAAAAATTAAATAATCTAAATTCCGCTTTAAGAATTTACAAAAATTTTTGTTTTCAGTTAACACGATCAATTTTTAATAAAATAATTTTGCGGGATTTTCTGGAATTTTCATTGAAAAAAATTTCCGGGATTTTCATAGTCAAATAATCATCTATGAACATCTGTGGTCCAAAGTTTAGGAAATCTGAGGTGATTACTCTGACACCTAAAAACATATTATGAGCAAACTCTATTTATTGGTGACACAACCATATAATGGAGTATATGTTTGTGTCACTAGCAAATAAAATATATCTTGGAAAAGAATATTTAGAAAAAAAAAATATTTTAAAAAGAAATATTATTAAAAAGAACTTATTTCTGCAACAGCTTCAGATTCACAATGGCACGTGAAGTCTAACCCTTTACAAAAACCATTAGTTTACTGATAATAACCTGAAATCATTAGTTTAATGATAATAATCTGTAATTATTAGTTTACTGATAATAATCTGTAATCATTAATTTACTGGTAATATTCTGAAATCATTAGTTTACTGATAATAATCATTACAATATTAGTGATATTTCTAATCATGCAGGGCAGAACTTTGTCTTTTAAAATACCATTTCTCAAATTAAAATTTTTATCTCTTACACTTTTATGCAACTATTACTATGGTTAAATGAGCTACCATCTTGTAATCCACCAATAAAAACATAATGTTTTTACAACAATGCATCTTTTTGCTATATAAACTTTTAATTTTTATTTTTAAATTCCAATACTTCAGAACTCTTTCCCATCTTCATGTTTTTCTGAATTATTCATTTACATTTTTAAAGTTTTCTTTTTAAAAAATTTTATAGAAAAATTCCTCTTAAAAAGAACCCACACCTAACCATAGTAAGTGAAAAGAAATCAAAAAAGCATACTTTATTACCATATTTCTATATCTAGAACTTGATTATATTTCTTTAGCTCTGTGATTAGCTGTATTGGCTCTAAAATGAAACAAAAAAATTGTATTTAAAAAAATGCACTAGTTCAATATCAGTATTTATTGAAAAGAAAATAAGAAAATGTATTTTTAAAAATGTTGATTTACATGTTAATTAATTAAAATTTTTTCTTTTCTAAATTTTTTTAATAGTAAAGCAATTAGTTGAGTTCCATATGAAATCATCAGAAAAAAAACATTTTCGACACCTTTACATCTCAGAATTTGTTCATTTTTACCTCACTTACTGTCCGTATAAAAAAATTAATAACTGCAAAAATTCTAGTTAAAAATACATATGGGTTCCAGAGATATCGCCAGTTTAAATAATGCTGACTCAGCATTTTAGTGATAATCTGAGGTGACTACAAAGCATCTTTGACCTATAATATCTTCATAATGGCTTGGCAAAATTTTCTAAAATTTGGTACCCCAATTGATTTTTACTTGTGGAATCAAAAATTGCACCCTCAAGACTCAATTGTCTAAGAATTTTTTTTTTTTTTTTGTAACATATTCACTTCCAACAAGTCTGCAACCAACCTAATTAGAGTTGGAAGTTACTGAAGTGAAAAGATAAAAGTTATATAGCTAGCTAGCGATTGACAGACAACTTAAAAGATTGCAAATTATATGAATCAGGAAAGCAAGATGAAGAAAGCGAATTCCAAAGGACTGATGTTTGAGGAAAAAAGCTAGAGGAACAAGAGTTTTTAGAGCATTTTGGAACAGTAAAAATAAAAAGAGACTTAATTGAATGATGAGTAACAAAATAAAGAATTTTAGTAGATGGAACAAGAGACGCTAGCTCTTTAGAGCAGTGCCCATTATAGTATTTGTAGAAAAGAGAAAGAGAAGCAACATTACGACGATGTGACAAAGGTTGGAGATTGGCTGCCAGAGCAGGTCCAACTATGTTTACAATTCGTTTTTGCACCTTGTCTAAAAGAGAAAGAGCATCATTAGAAGATCCACCCCAGATGTGGCAACAGTATTCCATACAGGGACGGATTTGAGATTTATAGAGATAGAGAATAGAATCTGGAGTAAGAAAGTGTCGAGCTCGATAAAGAGATGCAACCTTAGCAGATGCTAATTTTGCAATGGATTTGATATACGGTTTAAAAGAAAGATCAGAAGTAAGAGTTAATCCTAGAAGATGAATGGTAGATGACTCATCTAGTACATTACCATTCATAAATATAGGAAGGTCTAAATTATTGCGATAACGATTGGCCGAATAAAATTGAGTTTTATCTGAATTAAAGTTCACCAGCCACTGCGAGCCCCATGCTGTAGCAGAAGTGAGATCCTTTTCAAGCTCAGATACCCCCTCCAAGCAATCAGAGAGTGTAGGCTTCTTATCATGACAAGAGTAAATGGTAGTGTCGTCAGCGAATAATGCCACCTTAGATGTGAGAATATCTGGAAGATCGTTAATGTAAGTTAAAAAGAGTATAGGGCCAAGGATTGAACCTTGAGGAACCCCTGAAGTTACAGGATGTGAAGAAGAGTGTTGTCCATCGAGGACAACTTTTATACTACGATTGGAAAGAAAGGACTCAATAATCTTAAAGATGTTACCAGCTACACCATAAGAAGAAAGCTTATGGAGAAGACCAGCATGCCAAACTTTATCAAAAGCTTTAGAAATGTCAAGTGCGATTGCCTTAACCTCTCCACCTCTATCTAATGCACGGTAAAACCTATCGGTTATCACTGTTAGCACATCAGCTGTAGAACGAGAAGACCGAAATCCATATTGATGATCAGAAAGTAAGTTATTTGATTCAAGATGAGAGATTAAGTGTTTGTTGATTAAAGATTCAAAAACCTTGCTTATGACAGGAAGAAGACTAATGGGACGGTAGTTAGATGAATCAGATCGCTCTCCAGAATTTTTGAAAATAGGGATAACAGATGCTGCTTTCCAGCATGATGGAAAACAAGACTCTGATAAGCACTTGTTAAATAGTTTTGAAAGTATGGATGAAAGCTCCGGAGAACACCTCTGCAAGACTACAACAGGAATGTTGTCAGGACCACAAGCTGTTGAAGAGTCTAAGCAGGAAATTACTTTTGATACAGAAGCTGAAGTGATGCGAATGTCAAGCAAGGGATCAACCTGTTTGACAGCTATGTCAGGTAAAACGCAACTAGTGGAATCGAGAGATGATATTGATGAAAAGTTCTTAGCAAACAATTCAGCTTTGTCTTTAGGTGAGGTGACAAAGTCTGAACCATACAAGAGAGAAGGAATAACAGATTTGCCCTTATTATTGATACTGTTAAAGATTCTCCAGAAGTCTCGAGAGCCTAATTTTTGTGATGAGATACGAGATTTAATGACCTGAGAATAGCGAGCTTTGGCGTCAGACAAAACCTTTTTACAATGGTTTCTGGCGATAGTGAACAGATGTCTGTTTTCTGGAGAATTGTTTTGCTGATAGATATGGAAGTAACGGTTTCGATTAGAAATTGCTGCAGCGCAATGTGAGGAAAACCAAGGAGAAGAGTGAGGCTTGACCTGGAATCGTCGAGAGGGAATAAAAGATTCCATGCCAGCCTGAATCCACGAAGTTATGTAAGAAGCACATTTGTCAGCAGGAAGACGAAAGATTTCTACCCAAGGGCCATCACGAAGAAAATCACGGAAAGAGTCCCAGTCAGCTTTAAGGTAGTTGTATGTGGTACGATGATAGGGGGATTCTGATGAAGTAGAAGAGTTTGATAATAGTTTTAGAGAGATCAAACCGTGATCAGAAGTACCTAAGGGTGAATGTGGAGAAATTGAGCACTGACTAGGATCCAAAACAAGACATAAGTCGAGTAGAGAAGGTAAATGATTAGGGTTGTCTGGAAAACGAGTTGGAAAGTTGACTATTTGAGTTAGAGATTGAGAAAGACAAAAGTTGAGGGCCTTAACGCCAGCAGAGTCACTGACACTAGAGCCAAGCCAATCGGTGTGATGGGCATTAAAGTCACCAACAACGACGATATTGGCTGATGGATAAAGAGAGAGGGCTTGGTCAATTTGATCAGAAATAGCATCAAGAATAGTGCAATCTTGGGATGAAGGAGAGCGATATAAAACAAAGAGAAAGGCGATAGAGTGAAGTTGTGCTAAACGAAAGCACATAAATGAATAGTCTGTAGATTCAAACCTAGTTTCACAACAAATGGGTGAGTTCTTACGAATGTAGATGCCCAGGCCAAGCATGTGATTATTGGAGTCTTTACGAATTAAAGGAAGATAACCATCAACACTAAGATCACAAGATGGGACAGCCGAACTCAAATTAGTCTCACAAAGAGCAAGTAGGTCTGGTGAACTTTGCAAGAGATAAGACTCAACAGAAGAAAAGTTACTTCGAAGACCACGAATATTAGTAAATGATAGGTTTAGAGAACTTGGTGATGACGATGGTTTTTTGTGTTTTTTAGTTTTAGGTACTTTAGTCATTTTGAATTTATAAAGAACTTGACTCAAGTATAGATAGTACTCAGTACACTATTTAACAACTAAGCAATAGCCTTATTACTATTAATAAACCCTAAGCCGTAACAAAGGGCTCCAAATGTGGCCTCTGCAATGCACACCAAAAGTACAAACAGGGACACCATCCATGCGCAACATGGCACTGTTAGTACTCTGATATTTTTCGGCTGTTGATGGAATCAGCCTCTCTGAGAGCTACCATAGAGTTCGGGAAACCTGACTACCGGCCGGCCTCAGAACCATAAAACTGAGTTTTAGAGCTGTACCCTCATTAGGAGATAATAGAATGAGTTGCCCAGTCGTAAAAATAGAGACACAAGCAATACCCACGCATTGAGTCAAGAAGATCCAGCGTTCAACATCCTAAACTGGAAACAATGTATTAAAAATACATCTGCGCCAGCCTAATAGATGAGGAAGGGGTGCGAGACTGGTCAACAGATAGAATCTGTTTACCCCTTAAGTCTTTGCCTAGGAGGCCTTCTACAAGACAGCAGCTGGATGCATGTAACATCTGCCCAAGATAAGTATTTTTATCGAGACACCATCTCTAGCCTTTACTCAACCAAGAGCCCCAAGGCAGGGGGTGTTTTAATTCGGAGTTAACTTCTCCTAGCCTTTGCCTAAAAAAGCGTATCCTACAAGGCAGCAGGACATGAAGCAGGTTGTACTGGGTTACATGTTACCAGTAGCAGGAAAACCTGACCTGACCGTAAAGTTTTCCAAGAAAGATTGGAAGTAAGAGTTAATCCTAGAAGAAGAAGGGTAGATGACTCATCGAGTACATTACCGTTTATAAATATAGAAAGGCCTAAATTGTTGTGATAACGATTGGCTGAAAAAAATTGAGTTTTATCTGAACTTAAGTTCACCAGCCACTGTGAGCCCCATGCTGTAGCAGAAGCGAGATCCTTTTCAAGCTCAAATGCCCTCTCCAAGCAATCAGAAAGTGTTGGCTTCTTATCATGAAAAGAATAAATGGTACTATCATCAGCGAACAATGCCACCTTAGATGTGAGAATATCTGGAAGATAGTTAATAAAAATTAAAAAGAGTATAGGGCCAAGGATTGAACCTCAAGGAACCCCTGAGGTTACAAAAAGAAGAAGAGTGCTGTCCATCGAGGACAACTTTTATACTACGATTGGAAAGGAAGGATTCAATAATCTTAAAGATGTTGCCAGATACACTGTAAGAAAAAAGCTTATGGAGAAGACCAGCATGCCAAACTTTATCCAAATATTATGAAATTTCAAGAGCAATGGCCTTGATCTCTCCACCTTTATCTAATGCATGTTAAAACGTATCAGTTATTAGTGTTAGCAAAGAATCAATTACTGTCAGCTGTAAAACAAAAAGATCGAAATCCATATTGATTATCAGAAAGTAAGTTATTAGATTCAAGATGAGAGATTAAGCATTTGTTAAATAAAGATTCAAAAACTTTACTTATGATAGGAAAAAGTCTAATGAGATAATAGTTGGATGAGTCAGATCGCTCTTCA